AATGATGATGCTAAAAAGGGGGTGAATTGTGTTTGTTTCTCTTATTCTTCACACCTGTAACTAATGGGTCACCTATTCACCGATGCTTGCAAAAGGCGGGAAACTTGTAGCAGTTTCAGACTAAGAAGAGGGACTATTGGCCACGGGCTGGTGACTAATGGTAAGAGAAGACAACGAACAGGGCGGTGATGATTGTGTCTCACAAAACTAATTTGAGCCGATGTCATCTCATTTTTTACTGACTTTTTCATTGAAGTAATCTCTTAGCTCAAGACTAAATTCTTTCGTGGATATTTTCTGTAGATTTCTTTGTGTTTATTTTCTTGTGCTCTTCTTTTTTCTTTGTAATAATTTCAATTATATTTTTGTTCTACTCATTCTTTATCCTTCATTTATTCAGCAACACCTTTCATTCTTTCTTTCTTTCTTTCTTTTTAATCCTTCTTCTTTATATTTATTTACTGAGCTGAATTGAGTTTATTTAATTGTAGAGCGATGCTTAAACTCTTCTCACATTCACACATTCAACTTTCTATAGATATTTTTTTCTTTGGAATTTTTATTTTTCCCCTTTTTTTGTTCATTTCTTCATTTATTTGTCTACTCTTCTTTCTTTCTTTCAATACCAAATTTCTTTCTTTCAATGCCAAATTTCTTTCTTTCTTTTTTTCTTTCTTAGACGTAAATTTTCCTTCGTTCACTATTCACTATCATATATTTTTTTCTTTCTTTTTTTCCACGCTTCTATTCATTCCCAACAGATCAATTTTTCTATATTTTTCTTTCTTTTAGAATTTTTATTTTTCCCCTTTTTATTCATTTTTTCTTTTATTTGTGAAGTTTTTTTCTTTCCTTCAAATTCCATTTTTTTTCCTTTTTTCATTTTTACCGTTCTCTAATCTCTATCTATTTTCTTTCTCTTTTTCTACTCTTTCATTCTTTCGCAAAAGAAGAATCTTCGGGCTTTTTCAGGAATAATGCATTTCTGTAATAAAACAAAAAAACAATTAAAAAGTCTATGTTAATGAGTCGACCCAGTAGTGTCTAAAATATATTTTCTATTTAAAGTTTTCAAAAAAAAATAATCTGAATTAAAATGAACCTTAATCTGGTTCCTTTTCTTTTCTTTTTTTTCACTTTCCTTCACTTTCCTTCCGTTCAGTTGCATAAACTTTTTTCTTTCTTATTTTTTCAATTTTTCTTCATTTCTGTTTTTCTATTTTTTCCTTCTTTCTCTCTTTCCTATTTTGTTTTTTTTTTCTGTAATTTTCTGTAGTTCTTGATCATCTCATTTATTTTTTAGTTATTCATTCACGGATTCAATTTAATTCTTACTTTCATTCATTTATTTCACTGTTTTTCTTTCTTTCCCTTTTCCAAGTTTACTTTTTTATTTTTTATTTTCTTTCTTTCCAAACCATACTTTTTATTTTTCTTCTTTGCCATTCTTTATTTCTTTCTTTTTTCGACTGAGCAGTTCTTTATTTGGCGTTATTTTTGCCATTCTTGTTTTCTTTCTTTATTCTTCCTCCCTTGATTTTTTTCTTTCTTTCTTTCATTTCGTTCCTGCTTTCTTTCTTTTCTTTTCTTTTCTTTTCTTTTCTTTTCATTTCTTTTTTTTCTTTCTTTCTTTTCATTTCTTTTCTTCCTTTCTTTCTTTTTATTTCTTTTCTTTCTTTCTTTCTTTTCATTATTTTTTTTTTTTTTTTCTTTCTTTCTTTTCATTTCTTTTCTTTCTTTTTTCTTTCTTTCATTTCACTTCTTTTTTCTTTTCATTTCTTTTCTTTCTTTTTTCTTTCTTTCTTTTCATTTCTTTTCTTTCTTTCTTTCTTTCTTTCTTTCATTTCACTTCTTTTTTCTTTTCTTTTCTTTTCTTTCTTTCTTTCTTTTCATTTCTTTTCTTTCTTTCTTTCTTTCTTTCTTTCTTTCTTTCTTGATTTCATTTGTTCATCTCCCAGTTCTTTCTGTTTCTTTCTCATTTTCTCTTCGTCATTTTCCTTTTATCTTTTAGAAAATGCCTAATCACTGAATGAACGAATGAATGAATAAACGAAAAAAAAAAATAACTGAATTATCAAAATAAGATAAAGAAAAGATTAGAACCTATGCAAAGATTTAACTTTACAATCAAAGAAAGATACCTTAACACATGCACAATACAAAAACACGCTGGGATTTTATCCTTAACACTTTCTCTTTCAGACTCCATTCATCTGTTGCCATCACCGGTGGATTGACCCGAGGATTCTTTTTGTTCACAACTATTTTTTCAGTAAATGTATTATTTACTTGTCTATATATTTACCCACTCCTCTTCTCGCATCTTTCACTTCTTCCTACAAGCTTTTATTTATTTTATTTCTCAAGTGATACAATCTTCTTTTACTAACGAAGGGTGGAAAATCTAAAATAACAGGGCTGGTTTAAATCTTCTAAATTCTTTGAGTTTGATAATGGGTATTTATTAAGCTTCGCCTACCGTAAAGTCAAATCCTGGGAAATAGAAGTGAAATTTCATATGCTGATTTTTCAAAGCAAGCAATTCTTTCAAATATAAATTTTGGACCCAATACAAATTTTCATACTTCAGCCTTATACCATGCTAAACTAATAGATATTAACCAAAATTAACTTCTTCTTCTTCTTCTTCTTCTTCTTCTTCTTCTTCTTTGTTCAATGTCCCTTCGGGACGTTGGCGATCATAGCTCGCCACAGTTTCCTGTCCTTTTTTTTAGCTCTTTTTTTTAGCTCTTAATAGATTTTCTGTTTTTGTCATCCCCACACCTGAAAACTTGTTCCACCATCCAGTTCGCTAGGTAGGTTATGTATTGTTTTCCTCTGTCCCTCTTGCTTGAATCTGTCCTGTGAGTATCAAATTTGCTAACCCTCTTTCCTCATTGTCCTCATTATGCCCTGGAAATTTCAACTCTCTGTTCTTGATGTTAAATACAAATATTCTTTTTGGTTCCCATTTTCGTCGTTGCTCTCGTGTTCTGTCCATGGTAGTCTCAGCATCCTTCTGTAGAACCACATTTCTGTTACCTCAAGTTTCTTCATCTGTGGGGAGATTTTCCAGCATTCACTGCCATACAAGAATACTCATATTATATAGCAGTTTGGCTCTCTTTTCTTTGTTTCTAACGATTTTTTTCTGTTTCTTAATACTTTGCTTAGCCATTGAAAGGCATCTTTCGCTATTCCCGTATCCGGAACATCCGCCGTAAACATTTTTACCGTAGGAAAACTCGCCTCAAATTTTTTCGCGGTAGGAAACTTCGCCGTGTAGTATTTTTCCGTAAGATAATTTCACCGCATTTTTTTGATACCCTTATCTTGAACGTTCCTTTTGGAGTAATTTCCAATTTTATATGCGAAGTACCTTGTTATCAAGTATATATGGATATCTTTTATACAAGGTCAAACATCATTCTTTGATCAGATATCTTATATTGAAGTTGGTTGCTTATTCAAGTTGTTTGTTTGAAATAATATATATTACTTGAGCGAGAATTATTGGCAGATTGATATTATGTTAACAGGAAGTTTAACGTTAAGTCAGAAATATGAAATTGCGTGACGCAGGTTCTGGTGTCAAATTGAAATTTTTGCGCTTCTCACTGACGAGGATGAATGATACTGAAGGATTTTGATCCTATAACTTCGCCTATTAAAGTGTTTAAATCGAAGTCACAATAGTGTGAGCCAGATATACTTGATAAAAAGTTACTTCGGCGAAATCGTCTTACGGCAAAAATTCTACGTCGAAAATTCCTAAGTCGAGTTTTCCTACGGCATAAAGTTGTTTACGGCGAATGTTCCTAAAACCCGCTATTCCACTGCGCCAACGGATTTCATTGTTGCACTTTGATATTTAAATTGTTATACTTGTTTGATTTTGATATCCCCAAATAGTAATTTGCATGTTGGGCTGTTCCTTTTGCTAACAATCATGCACTCTGTCAACTTCCAATTGATGTTTGATCATTTCTTTCAATAACTTCGGTAGGAGTTATTTCAGTTTCCTATCTGTGTCTGTCATCAACACTTTGCCATCTATATAAGATATGTTGTTAAGACTGTGGTCGCCAATAATGACTTCTGATAGGAATGAAATGCCAAATAAAGAGGAAATAGGGAAAATTGTGCGAATATCCTATACCTGCGTAGAAAATCAGCATACACAATTCTGATTTTGACCTAGGTTTGAAAACCCCCATCCATCACAATTGCTTTGGATATCAGAATGGTACCAACTTGTAGGCTCAACGGTGACTATTTTTTCATGCTTAAATACAATCACCCGGCCACCTCAATGTCCACCCTATAGATAGATAGATAGATAGATAGATAGATAGATAGATAGATAGATAGATAGATAGATAGATAGATATTAGTGGTAAATATACACATACATATGCAAAATATATAAATATACATATATACGTACATAAACATACATATATATTTGTATAAAAAAAATATTCCAAGAGGATAGAATCCATGTAGAACTCAATGTCAGGACAAAGTAAGGATATATATATATATATATATATATATATATATATATATATATATATATATATATATATATATATATATATATATATATCTATTTCTATCTGTTTGGTGGATTAAATAGTTTTTCTTTTCCATCATTACCAGTGTTCAAGGCAACAGCAACGATTTCAACCACCTCTTTTCAAGGAAGGAAGTTCACCCACTCTTGGCAGACCAGTGCAACTTTAAGTCTTAAAATTCGCTTATACGCCGTAATAATCTTAATAAATATTAAAAGCCAGATTTTTCCCAACTTATTTTCAAAGTAGGTAAACTTCCCGTACCTGGGAGATTGCAGCCATACTATCTTTCTGCTCTTAATTACCCACATTCATTTTGGAATCGGATTAAACTGACTTGTTAACTAAATAAATTTATATATATATATATATATATATATATATATATATAGAATCTTATGGTTGCGAGGTGCTGTAGTTTGTGGCCAACGCTCGTCAACACTTGAGGATAAATTAATTTCCTACTATGCTCAGCTTGTTCCATTTTTTTTCATCTATACGTTGTCCCTAAATTCACGACACGTAAGGAAAAATGAATATTTTCAAAAAATTAAATTTTCAACATTTTAACAGCTTCCATATGATTTTCATCATTTGTGATGCAAAGTTTGATGTGTTTTGCAAGATTCACGTGAACTCAATGCAATAACTCCACATTGCCGTCAATTTTAGCACATTCACTCTTTATGCATTCAATCAAGTGTGTTGCATCTGTGATTTTCATTGAATACACCTTTTCCTTTAGCATACCCCAGAAAAAGAAGTCAATCCTTTCTTCTTTCGACAAAACTATGTTTAATCTGTGCAGTTAAAAAATATCGTTAATGAGATTTCCAATATGTTTAGATTTTAGGGCCACCCTGTATTAATTATTAATCATAAAAAAATAAATGCAAATTTCTGCACACGACGGCTTGGTTATGAAAGAAAACACTTGCAATGGATTCTGACACTTGCACTTTAATTCCGGCGTACACTAACTACTTTAGATAGATCTTTGATGAACTAATTTTTGGAGAATGTAATTTAGAAAGATCTCGCTGACAACGGCTTGTAATATTTGCACCTTAAACATCATTCAGAATCGCCATATGAAATGGAACAAGGCGTTGCGGATATGTAAAAAAAGATCCTCTAATAGCTATTAGTCACGAAACTTTAGACATTTTGCATAAATGGCCTACGTTTTTTTTGTTTTTTTTTTCGGATAACCCGTCCCATTTTATTTTCCTGTAATATTAATAGGCGTGATTTTGGAATCGGCATTCTCCACGCCCTGCTCTCTCAAATATGTTAATGAAGTATTTATACCTCGCCTCTAAATGTTATATCTGACGTTTAGTGGCGGACAGAATCTTGCCGGTTTTAGACTTGATTAGGGACCATCTATTCTCCTCTGTTTGTGTGAAGATAAAGAAGGCAGCCAAATTCCCAGTAAGTAGAGATTCACAATCCTGCACAACAGGCATTTCCAAGCTGGTCTTCCTTCAAATACTAAAAAATAAGGTCGGGGGAAAAAAAACTAGAATTCGTGTGGTGAAACTTAATATCTATACCTAATGTATGTATTTTTGTGATCACAGCTATATATAATAAATATTATATATATTCACATATATTTCTAATGAAAGGGGTGGATTTTGTTATTTATTAATCCGACATATTTTATTACTTAAAGTTTTTTTATTTTATTTTGGATACTCGTATTAGAGTAAACGCTCTGTTTATTTATTAAACAGTATATCTTATATTCGTTTACCGTCCTGAATATTCGAGAAATCTTAGTAGAGCGCATATTTTTCTCTCATAAGATTTCTTGAATATTCAAGCCGGTAGACGAAAATAAATAAATATATCGTTTAATAAATAAACGGCACGGCTACTCAAATACGAGTATCCACTGAAAGTAACCATTAAATAATAATAATGTGTGTGTGTGACAAAGTGGAAAAAGTTTTCATTGTGACGTGTTTCGTCCTTTGGGATTACATCGGGCTAAATTTGCTATGTTGATGCGACTAATATAAGAAATTTAGTCCGATGAAGACCTCAAGGACGAAACGAGTCACAATGAAAACTTTTTTCCACTTTGTCATACATTTCCCCCCCAATATTGTTCCTGATATATAAAAATATATATCGTTATCTCATATAATCAGTATATTTTGGTAGCAATTTTTCTTGTAAACGTGTCTTATTAAAATGAATAGATATTTTATGTCTAATAAGTTTATTGATCATTTTTAATATTAGGCGATGAACATTTTACAAATTTGGGTGTTGTAGATGTAAAAATAGCCAAAATGTGTCATCGTTAGTAAGTAAAGAGAAGCAAATCAGTTGTATTTTAACAGGAAGAT